ATCCCCTGCGTTTGTATAACTTCTCAATATTGACCCTTGCCAGTCAGTGCCCGTAGTTTTTTCCCTGTAAGGGTATTTTCATGTAAAATTTGTGTCTCCATTGTGTATCTATTTTCATAACAAGTGGTATCAGAGTGTTGGAGTTCTATCTATACCAGCTATCGGCCCGTCCATCGATGAATCTAACAGGTGGCGGCAGGCGCGCATCCTCCCATCATTTCGTCGAGTTCAATTGTTAGGAGATATCTATCTCTTACCTGTGGCCATCACGTTTGTCGATTCTCATAAATTCGGTCTATTCGATGAGATCGAACTGGTCACATATATCAAAACCAAAGCCACAGCGCTTCCACATCGGATCGAGGACTACCATATTGCCAGGTGCATCTACCGCATGCATTTGCTTGTAACCGGAGTAAAATTAAGTTGACTGTTGTGCACATCTGCTAGCCAGGTCAAGGCAATCAGCCATCATTGCCCTATCTACATGAATTTAATTTCACGTGCGATCAATACTATGTGCACACATCCTTCGTACCAGGAAATAAATTCAATTTGCAGCGATTTCTATTCTGTTCTGGTAAATCCAAATTCATGTTCAATTGCTAAATTAACAACCCAAGTCTACCAAGAGGTTTATACGGTGATCCAAATACTTAGTTTTTGCACTCTGAATGTGTTTTGTGTTTCTGCATTTTATTCACAAGGCGAGTTTGAAGTATTATCGACCACTCCTAGATTGAGATGCAATATTCTCATTATGGCAAGTGAAGATGCAAGTTGGCACATCTATCTAAGAGGAGAAGCATGCAGAAAACAAGAAGCACATCCAAGTTGTCAAGAGAGAGCCTTGCTCCTATCTAGATCACAAGGTGATCAAATTTTTCGGTGAATTTTGCTAACATGATATTGTTGGTATTTCTTAGCGACTAATTCCCAGCAGTAGCACTAGAAATAATCCTGGTATATTATGGTTACAGATATGATCCGCAAGCGCATGGATATATCATTGTAGCATTTCACCCGGGAGTATTCCAAGGTATCGCAAGAGAAGATATGATAAGAGAGAACTATGCTAACAATTCATATATTACTTATATACATCAAAGTCTATGCAGGGGTTAATTCAGTTCAAAGGGTAGGGTGACACACAGAAGAAAGAACTAAGAACTACTCTCACTAAAATATAGTTTAAGCTAAGTGGAGAAAGAATAAGAAAAATATCATTCCTGTACTTCTAGTATACATACATCTTTAGTCTATACTTGCTAGTATACAGTCATGCAACCAATACCTCATACCCAGTGTCCTCCTGGTGTTTCGAGAAGCCACCCCTGACTGCCGAGTTCCTTACGACAGCCCGTCATGACCATACAACCGGGGCTAAATACGGAGGAGTACCCTCCCCAGGAAATTAACTTAGGACAATATACACATGCAGAGGACACCCGTACTAAGCTGTCACCATCAGCGGCCAGCATCTGAACCACTGTATATTACCCCAATTAATGGTATCTAATAATCTAAGCACCGCGCTTACATTACTAAATACTACTCTACATCCTTGCAACCGACATAGAGCAACCGAATAATCGGACATTAAACCCACACCAATACACCTATCTGGAAAGCTAGTTACACGACTATATTGATTCAAGTATAAAGTAAAGTCGGCACTCAAGTAATATGAATGGAATAAAATACCGAACTTGTATAAAGAAGAATATTCTATTAATTCAATAAGTCTTACAAAATAAGAAAGTAAAGCTATTAAAGCCATACTAGAAATCTCCTGAAGACTTGAGGACTATGAAGACTATTCTATTTCCTACTCCACTAGCACTAGAACTACTAAACAATACTTGAGAGAGCTCTTGATCTTCTTCTTGAGGTGTGTGCTTGGAATGAAGGAAGTGAAGGGGTATTTATAGGTGGAGATGACTTGGGAGGGTGGAGATCCTCCATAGCATCCAACGAACATCTTCCTTCTCCTCATGCCATCTGTCCTCCTGAAGTCGGTAATAGCGCGGGAACCGGTCATAACGACCTTAGGTAGTGAGTAGCCTGTGTAAGATGGGGGCTGATTGGGCTCAGTGGTGGGTCGGCCGACCCCTTGCTGGCTCTTCTGGCCCCAGCTTTCTCCAGTAGACTCCCATGTTGGCCCCTAAATCAGTGACATACATTCTAGGCCCATTTGTGATTGTTAAATTGGACATTTAGGCCTTCTCATGCAATTGCACATCACCGGCAGACTTTCGACTAATTGATCGATATATTTCCTCCTCCTTCTCTTCATTTATGAGTGCTTCTCCTGCATACATGTTAGTAGCATAGCATATAGTGGAAGTAATTATTTTATTTAGGAATTATGCATTGCAAGCATAGCTAGTCTTCATATATTGGATAATATTGATGGTCGAAACTGGTTATCATGAGATCTAAGTACTTCGTTTTGTATACAAAAGTTCATGATTCTGCTAGGATTACATAAATTCATGCTAGTAGACTCAAGATTTTATTTCCATGGCGAGTTTGAAGTTTGGGCATCATGTTTCGCGTCGCTGCTTAGTTCACACAGGTTTATACTAGCAGATTCAGGATTTATTCCCAATGGTGAGAGTATGGTCTACTTCTTCTGAATCGAGGGTGTTACATTATAGTCATAGAGATTGTTTGGCGCACAATGATTTTATCTATGTGAGATTCTTTGGATATTGACAATTTTTATGCTACAAGAAAATTGGTCTCAAGGTGAAGATTGTTAAACATGTGATCCAAATATTAGGACTACAGTATATTTAGATTAGTTTTCTAATAGGACTCTATATTATAAGATTAGTTTCCTACTTGGACTTTGTGTCTTCGCCTATTAAGACTCCTATATTTCTCTTGTAACCCTTATGAGGAGTGTGTGACAACCCAATGCATCCCCCTGCGTTTGTATCCAACTTCTCAATATTGATCATTGTCGGTCGGTGCCCGTGGTTTTTTCCCGCAAGGGTTTTTCCACGTAAAATTCGTGTCTCCGTTGTGCATCTATTTTCATAAAAAAATTATCCCAGACGGACGACTTAAGGTTCCTCCCACGAAGAAATATCTTCGCAGACAAAGCTCTAAAGATGTCCGTCTAGGATAATATACTATCTTTCATGTCGGACGTCTTAAATCTCTGCCTGGAATGATACATTTTCGTAGTTAAGCCTCCGCCTTGGACGTTTGGGAGCAAAAATCGTGCATGCATGCTTAGTGAAAAGGACCTCGTATGCGAAACATTTTCCTAGTAGTGATAGAGGAAACCCACTCAATAATAGTATTTGGGAGCACTGCTTGGGATCGATAGACCTCAAATATAGCTCGAGCTCCCAGTTCTTCACAATCTTATAGTCACTGAAGCCTGCTGTGCCTGCTGTCTTGAATAGATCACGCCACTCATTTTCATCTCGCTGTCGACCTTTGGTTACGACCATCATAACCACATTGATGAGGAGTTGGGCTTCTAGAAGTGGCCCTGAAGGAGCCCCATTCACTATGTCAGTGATAATCACCTTCCATCTATATTCTCCGTTTGGAATAGTTTTGTTGCATTGGGCTAGGATCTTCACGTAATCCTCAACATTCCAGTGGTGAAGCAGAAGCTACCATGCACAAAACAGTCACCAAAAAAAATTAACAAATGCACAATTTGGTCAAATGTTTCTTTTTATTACTAATATATATATTTGGTCAAATGTTTGTTGTATAATTAGATTATAATTTAAATTGGTATTTAATCTATTTGATTTCTTGTCTTTGCTTTACATGTGATTCGTGAAATATTTTATCATGTTTTCTTCGTATGCTTTGGAATTTAGTTATTCGTAGGTTTGTTTTAAAATAAATTTCCATACAACTCAAGCAATGATCACGACATGATGCAAAAGTTTTAAAAACTTTGAAACCTTAATGCTTTTTCTTAACTAGAATGTTACAAACCTACCCCATTAAGCAAATCATGTCCAGTAGATTAAGGTAGAGTTGCAAGGTTACATGGACTTATTTGTCCAAGCAAAAATTTCGGGTATTATTAGTGTAGGGACATGACCCTCTAAATAGAATTGTGAGGTTACATGGACTTATTCGTCCATGCAAAAGAAATCAAACATGTGTCCAGTATACTTAAGGCTGGGGAGACCAAGTTGGTTGTGGGTGATGTTGAATTGTTATTCATCTAGGATGACTTGCATGTTTAAAGTATTCCCTCCATCAGCATCTACAATCAAAGCCACACCTAGAGTGCCCAGGGGCACTCATCTCTCAATGGAGGTTACATCTAAGTGGTCTCTTCAAAATCTGAAGCAACCGAATAAAGGTACTCAACCCCACAATGGGTGTCCCAACCAAAAAACCCAGGGTGGGTGTTTTCCTATACTACCCCTCTCTTCTCCCCCCTCTCTCTCTTCTCTTTTTTCTTTGCTCCTGCTTCTTCTTCGTCGCCCCTCCTCTTCTTCTTTTCTTCGCCTCGTCTCACTTCCTTCGCCCGTCGCCGTCCTCCCGGGAGTCTCGCGCCGCACCGCCACAGACACCGCCGTCGCCTCCCTCCTCGTCTAGACACCGCCGCCTTACTCCCTCTCCATCTCTCTCCCTCCGCCTCCGCTCGCCTCTTTCTCTAACCCGTAGCCGGCGGCTGGAAGGGCGATGAGGAGGGCCGCCGCCGCCGCTGGAGCAACGCCGTTGCTGGTGGCCGACGACTTATGAGCGCGGTGGTCAACGGTGAGCAGCGCATGGATCTGGCATGCCGGCAACCGGATCTGGCGTAACGGCAGCCGGATCCGCCGCTCGTCTCCCTCTCCTCTCACCGGCACACAACGCGTCGTTCCGCTGCATGCCCCTGCCAAAAGCGAGCGAGGGACGTGTCCCCCAGCAGAGGCGCGCGTTCCATCGCCTCGGGCGAAACGGCTAACGGCTTCGGACGGAGGGTGCTAGGGGGACGACCTGGGGCTACGCATTGAACATGGCCTAAGTGATTTTACATATTGAAATTTTACATAAGCAAGCCGGACACATTAACTCACATGAAACATTCAACAGAAGTTTTACACGTATTAATTCACAAAACCAAGCTTGACATAGATCACATATATAACAATTTGTTTCAGAAAATATGCCCTTCCTTCCTTTATTCACTTAGATCACATCCTCCACAGAGGGGACCCACACAATTAGTGTTGGAACCACTGCTATGGGTAGACCTCAAAGACGCCTCGAGCTCCCAGTTTCTTCACAATATTGTAGTCACTGAAGCCTGCTTTGCTGAAGAGATCACGCCAATCATTCTCGTCTCGCTGTCGGCCTTTGGTCACCACCATCATAGCCACATCCATGAGGAGCTGGGCTTCTAGCAGCAGTCCTGAAGGAGCACCAATAACTATATCTATGATGATCACCTTCCCTCCATCTTCTCGGGTTGGAATAGCTTTCTTGCAATTAGCTAGGATCTTCACACAATCCTCGTCATTCCAGTGGTGAAGCACAAGCTACCATGCACAAAAAAGTCATAGAAAAGTTAACAAATGCGCAATTTGAATTACACACTTCGTGGCGCACTAGTCGTTAACTGTTCTTCTATATAGGAAATGGATTCTAATTAATTACTCAAGACTCAAGACGATGTCTTCCGTATTTGCATGTTATCCTAATATTATAAAAAAAATAACAAGATATATCGATATATGATATATGACTTTAAAAACATCCAAATTCAAATTCAATCATCACAAGTTATAAAAAATAATAAATCAAACTCTCACTGGTATATATACGTGCGCTGAAAATCACTTTTAATTTTAATTTATTTCAGTTAATACTACCTGGAGCATCACAGCTTGAGCAGGTGGGATCTCACGGAACATGTCGCCCGCTACGTAGTTCACCACACCAGTTCGTGTCTCGCCAATCACCCGGGGAAAGTCCAGCACGGTGAACTTGATGTGTGGGAAGGCCTCGACGATGGCCTTCGCCGCCCTGCCGTCACCACCGCGGCAATCGGTGAGCGACTCCACCCCCTGGAACACCTCACGGCACTCCCGGAGAACCGTGGGGAAGTCTGAGTGGTCGTGCGCCGCTAGAGCTTCGTTGAACATCGAGTCAGACTCCGGGTCAAGGTTCGCCATGCTCTCGTCGAACAGCGCGGCGCCGTGCACCTCCTCGAACGGCGACGGCGGCGCCGAGGACGACGGCGGCAGGTCCTTCCCGAACCAGTCCGCGAGCCCCATCGCCGCCTCCACGAAGTGCCTGGACGTCGCGGCGAGCACCACAAGCACCTGGCTCGGGTGGCCGTCGACGACGGGCGCTGCGCCTTCGCCTTCCACCAGGAGCCACGACAGCGGGGTGAGGCGGTACATCCCGGCCCACCCGGTGGCGGTGTCGTCGGCAGCGGCGAAGACGCCCGAGTTGACCAGCAGCCGCATGAGGCGGCGGAGGAACGGGAGCTTGGCGGGCGGGAGGGAGAGGGCGGCGACAAGGTCGGGCAGCGAGGCGGTGCCGCCGGCGCGGTGGATGGCGGTGGGGATGCCGAGCTTGACGGCGCACTGAAACGCCATGGACGTGACGAAGTAGAGGCTGTGGCGCAACATGTCGGCCTGCGCGTGCAGCAGCTCGTCGTCGGTCGGTGGTGCCAACATGTTGGGAGGCTGACCTGCCATTAAAAATTGAAATCTAGCTAGCTATCTCGATCGCGATTAACTTCTCGCGACTGTGGTATGTTTGTTGTATTAGCATGGGTACGAGTGACGGGTTTAAATAGAGTGAGGCTCAGCGATTCAACTGTCAACTGTGGCTCGTGTTCAGCGTGGAAATAGAAAATTGTTGTCAATGGCCGAATGGCCTACAGTTAGATATGGTAGTTTGATTTCGTTTTTTATTTGTACACGTGTGCACTGTTATGGCGATACGATAGAAAATCTGTAGGTTGATACGTGGGTACTAGTTATTTAGAAAATCTAATTATAACAAGGTAGCCCGTGCACATGCGCGGGCATCTTGTTTAACACGTTTAAAATTTGAGACCCACTACGATTCTCTCTATTGATAGTAGAAAGTAATCTAATCCGTTGATCTTATTTGATCGAATGATTTAGATCTATTTATACTACCACCCTAAATAGCAGTAGTTCAAACATGGAGAGACATTACTATAAAAAAAGTGCGTAAGGGGTATAATTATCATTTAGTAGTCACTAAACCTAGTTTTATTCTTGTTTGGCTTATTTCGATGGAATATGAGCGATGCCAGCACAATAAATAACCACAGATTGATCAATCTAGCCCGAAAAAAATATATAAATGAAAAGGTTAGCCTTAATCAATGTATTAGTAAATAACGAATGGATCAGATCATTTCTACTGGTGATATAATAGTATCAGTAGAGAGCATCGGATCACCACTCAAAATTTTATAACAAATATATATGCGTGAGTGATATTTTTATTGAAATATCTTTTTTACTCTATTCTAATTTATTTGGGATTACGTTGGAAATGATTTTTTTTTCTAATTACCCTTGCATCATATAAATTGTAAACTAAAATCATGTGAAATCGTGAAGTCTTGAATTTATTTATGAGAAAATATGGTGTCGCAATCACAACCATGGAATTGGTTTGTATGATGTTTTTTATACTGTAGATGTTTTTCGATTTTAGGATAAATTAGTTGAAGATATTTGTTTATTAAACATATTGCTAATATGACTACGTCATCTAATTAAAGATAGACTTATACTCTATAGAAGTCAAATTTTGTCCTAAAATGTTTGAAGTTTATTGAATCTGACCAATTTACCGAATAGTTTATGATCTCAACCTAGGAATTTTGGTATATAAGCCAACAAATCATCCAAGTAATTGGTTGGAACTAATTTATTTCCTTTGCGTATATTTGTTTGTTTCTTTTGCAATGTATTTAATTTCAAATACTACAGTAAGAATTCAAATTTAATTAGTATCTTCGATTTTTGTTTACTTTTTACAACTGACAGCTAATTATCAAGAGTGGGTTTTATCATGTGGTTCAATAAGTTAATTTAGTATTTACAAAGAAGCCTCGCTAGCAATTAAGACCCGGTGATTATTATGTTGTTGTCGATGGGGGACACCCGTAGACCGGATATAGAGGGTATTGGGGTACGCTGGTACGAGGATCTACGTAATATGACATCAAGCTAATAGAAAACATGGATTATATTGGTTCAGGCCCCTTGGTAGGCCCCTTGGTAGGTAATAACCCTAAATCCAGTTGATATGGGATTATATGATGGAATCACAGATTACAAAGGGAACAATGGAACTCGATGATACCGACGAGACCGTAGTCAAGTTGGTTCGACTAGATCACCCGGCGACTTGGCTCCTGTAGGCTCCGGCTTCGTAGGCTATGGTGGTTGTCTCGGCTGTGAGATTCGATGCCTTAGGTCCTTCCGGTGGGTCCCTTTTATACCGCAGGTAAGGTGGTTTCCAAGTAGGACTCGGAGACATCGGACCCTACACGATACAGTGACGACCCAGTCCGATCCGAGTAGGAACCTTTCCATCTGTGGACTCCATGATGAATTTTCTTAGCGTATACAAAGAACATCCGTATACGCGCAGATATACCATATCGATGTATAGCGTATATCCAAGGGTAGAGGGTATACCTTATTCGTAACCCTGAAAGTAGCCCCTGACTTCTGCTTAAATGAACTCATGTAACCGATCGCGACTTCTGATGTCGGGTTTGTTGTCGTTCTCGACTGGTCGATCTCGGCGTGAGGACCGTAGAGACAAGGAGTAATCGACGACGCCATGCGAAGTTCAACGGTCGTGAGTGAATTTAAATTGAAGTCCAAAAACTGCCGCGTGTAACGGACCCAGAAATTTCCGGCGGCCATCTCTCTCCTTTCCTTGGAATTCGCATCGTCGGTAGTGCGTCTATTTAAGGGAGTTTTGGGGATCCATTTTGGAGCCCGCCTGTTGCAAAAACTTCCTAGCCTCCAAGCGCTCTTCGTCTTCTCCGCTCCCGCACAAACCCTAGCTTGCTCATCTTGGTCCCTCCTCCGGTGATCTCCGGCGGCAATGGACCTCGACAAGTCCACTTCCACCAGCGCGTCCCTGAAGAAGTTGCAGGAGGAAGGCGCTCTCCCCGGTCGCGGGACCATGGAGAGGGAACCAGGAGGTATTGAACCTGAACCTGTCCTGGGCCGCATGGTTGCGGTTGAGGACTACATTCTCTGCGGTTTTCTCCCGCCGCCTTCTGAGTTTTTCCTTCTCGTCTTGAATTTCTACGGTCTTTCTCTGCTCCATCTGAACCCCAACTCCATGGCCTTCCTCAGCATCTTTTCCCATCTTTGTGAGGTCTACATTGGGGTAGAGCTGTTTCTTGATCTCTTTCGTTTCTACTACGAGCTGCGCTGGATGGAACGTAAAAATGTGTCCGGGTGTGTTAGTTTCCGACTTCGGGATGGCCTGAAGTCGCGATACATCCCCTTCAAGTGCCCCTCTTCTCGTAGCAAATGGCGGGCGAGGTGGTTCTATCTTCAGATAGAAAATTTGGATCCAATCTTTGTTGTCCCTGAGGAACAACTAGACAAGATTCCGTTTTGGACCGCCAAGCCTGCCTTGACCCCATCCCTTCATGTGGACCCCCGTTTTTATAACAGGAATCTATCGTGTAAACAGTACCATTTCCCTGGATCAAGTAGTCTAGTACACACGAGTTCATAGCTGAAATACCAAATGCACATACACGAGAGTCTAGTGCGAATTATTACATCATAAGCCCGCAGGCATAGTCTCAAATCATCGGACCGAGCGGTCCGGAATACATTCCAAAAACAGAAGTAGGTAAGGCAGCAGAGTCAAGGCAGCGGCACGCCATTGCCACAGGCAACGACCGTAACTAAGACCTACTGAGCGCCATCGTCTCCATCACCCTCCTGGTAGTAAGCGTAGGGATCCTCCGAAGCTTCATCTCCGACCTCTGATTAAGTTTGTATATTACAAGGGTGAGTACCAACCGTACTCAGCAAGCCACCACAGCAACAATGCACATGACAGGGGTATTCAAAGGATGGCTATGGTTCTTTTGCGCAAAGCAAGTTTTGTAATTCTTTTCACAAACCTGAGACCTAGCACAGACTGATCAAATTTTAGTACCAGTGTTCATATTAAACAATGACGGTTCTGTCCACCATCCATTGTGATCCCAAGGATAGCTTCCCGCTATTGAGTCGTCATGGTTTTCTGAGGACGTCCACATTCCCGCCCCTCAGGAAGTGGCTCCATCAGCATAGAAATCATCATGCAATATCCCATCCCACACAAGTTAAGAATTTAGAGTCTAGCCAAGTGTAATACATGTCCCAGTGCTCAATAACCGCGAGCACGGCTATTCGAATAGATTTGGTTTACTCACACTGCAGTGGATGTACACTTTACCCGCACTCCGCGACTGCCCAACACATGAGCCTCGTCCCAACACATGAGACGTGTTACGGCAAAGCTTTTCGATAACCTCGCATTGGCAGTACCCGCTCCATGAACTTTACATCCTCATGCACTCTAGGCGTACACGGTTTCTAGCAGTGAGAGGAGTTCTGGTGCACCCGGGAAGGGAAGACTCACACATGCATTAAGTTATAATTACGTTTAGATTCTCACATGGCAGTCCTACCGATGGCGACACCACTGTAGACACCCGCCTCGCGGTCCTACCAATGGCTGCCCCACCGTAGAGCCCCTGCCTCACATAACAAGAAACCACTATGGATGGATACTGCCTCCGCTCAGCTATCTACTCCGCTTGGTCTATACCGATACGAGAAGTGCGGTTATACGGGGGTCGTTTCATGCTTAACTTCATGGCTCGGTCCTTAATTGACAGGGGACGGTGCTAGCCTTTTCCGGATACCACCCAAATCCTCCGTCCGCCCCAGTCGAAAACAGTTGTTTAATTTCATTTCTCCTTTCACAAATCATGTTATCAACATCATGGCAATGTGGCGCTCATGTCCCCACATGCCGCATCTCAATTACCTTCCCAAAGGTAATTGCCCAAGCATATAGCATTTGATAAATATGAGTATGCATGATTCTAGAATAGCATTTCTAAGCAATTGTCATAACTGACTAGGGACTCATACGTAAACATGGTTACGAAGGCATAAGGGGTAAACAAGAACCAAGGCATGGCATAATCACAAGTAGGATGTTCATTATTGCATGCAATTTATTTATAAACAAAATAATGTCGCAATTGGGATCAACATGTTCAAAGAATAGTGATGACTTGCCTTGCTCGAAGCTTTGCGGGTCTTGGTCCTCGCTCGGATCCGCAACTCCCTCGGGCTCTAAAATTACGTGCGAAGAAACGATTTGAATTCGGTTAGAATTCAAATAAAGATCCAAGTAAATCCAAGAAGATATCGAGAGCGGAAGTCGGTTTCATACATTATCTAATTTCGTTCGTGAAATAGAGCTACTCCGTCTGTTTAACTCTATCCATCCCCAAACTATTTTGTGGCATAAATATTTTATTAGCACAAGTTTTTAATTTAATCCGCCCGGGCATTCCATCCATATAATAGGTTAGAAATTTCTATCGCGAGCTAAATATCGGACAAAATCCTAAAATTATCTTATAATATTGTACGATTTAATTTAGTCTATGACTAAATGATTAAATATAATACACGGCTAAAATTCCTAGTAATTAAA